TTGAGCCATCTCCTTCGACTCCTTCGACTCCATCTTCTCCATCTTCTCCTTCTAGATACCTACAGCCGATCGATCTGATTTCGACCTAGATTGCATTATCTACATACCATCTCCAGGGCTGCTGTTCTGTATTACTCCGTACTATCGATTTACCCAGCATTTATCCTGGACACCCTCGACTCCCCAATCGATAATAATAGTTTTGTTTGATAATCCTTGCATCAACCAATCACATCTCAGGATTCTTCGGCATTTATGACACATTTTACCGACTTCCGAACTCCGACTCAAAAAAGATTACTCAAAATGCATTTGGCGTCATCATCCACAATGTCCACATCCGACATTCGCTCTCCAACTTCGATTCATCCTGCTCTTACTAAGCCCAATGATCCCCCACAACCTTCTCAATCCGTATTTGATGAAGCTGTTACACCTTCAGCTACGGCTCAATCCTTTTTGGGTTTCAATGCCTTGAACTCGAAACTTAATCTTGGAGAAAATCTCCGACGCGAACAGGGCGCACAGTTCGGTTCTTTGAATGCCATCGAAACCAACTTCCCAGATAATGATCTTTCCCAGTCATCGACTGACCCATCCACAACTTTTTCCGCTGCAACACCTGTAGGAAGCGATTCGGCTTCTGTTCCGTCATCACCGGTATTTTCTACGCGGGCCTCCCGAACTTTCCATAACCATTGCAAGAACGCTCTATCTGTAGACGCTGTACCCCGCCAGACTATTATGAAAGCATTGGCATCGTCGAAACAACATAATCCACAAAACCTTTCTTTAGCAAACATGAAATCACCATCTACTGAGAGACCGGGGACTGCCTCATCGCAGAAGCTCAATGCAGCAATATCGGATTTGGCACAGCGAAACACTCCGGTCACAGCTCGATTTCCCTCACTACAATCACCATGCTTTTACCATCAACGATTCGATGACGCTGTCAATATCGACAAGGTGCTTGAAGAGATCAACGGAGACGAATCAATGTCACATTCTCGACTCATGGCAACGGCTACTGGTGTGCGAGAAGTTTCTAAGCAATTGCAAAGACGCCCTATCAAGAGAGCCGTCCGCAATGTCATGATTGTTACAAAGGCTAGAGATAATCAATTGGTTAATTTGACCAAGGATTTAGCTCTTTGGCTCATGAGTACTCCACGATATGGCTCAGACCTGGGTGTTAATGTTTACGTTGATGCGAAGTTGCGCAACTCGAAGCGATTTGGAGCAGCAGCTTTGATTGAATCACAACCTCGATTCCAACATCTTTTGAAATATTGGTCACCAGATCTTTGCTGGAGTCAACCGGAGAAATTCGACCTCGTTCTCACTCTGGGTGGGGACGGTACTGTCTTATTTACTTCATGGCTCTTCCAACGTGTTGTTCCGCCCATTTTATCCTTCAGTCTCGGTAGTCTTGGCTTTTTGACTGGATTCGAATATGATCGCTTCAAGGAGCATTTGAACAAAGTCATGGGAGAGGAAGGTATGCGAGTTAACCTTCGTATGCGCTTCACATGTACGATATACCGGGATGGAAAGGAACAAGGTCACGAGGCGGTAGAAGGCGAACAATTTGAGGTTCTCAACGAACTCGTTATTGACCGAGGACCATCTTCTTACATCTCTAACCTCGAGTTATATGGTGACAATGAGCTTTTGACTGTTGTCCAAGCCGATGGATGTATTTTCTCGACTCCTACTGGTTCAACTGCATACTCATTATCTGCTGGTGGCTCACTCGTCCACCCAGATATTCCTGCCATCCTCCTCACACCAATTTGCCCTCATACCCTTTCATTCCGGCCAATGATTCTCTCAGATACACTTTTACTTCGAGTATCCATTCCACGCAATTCTAGAGCCACCGCTTATTGTTCATTCGACGGAAAGGGACGTGTTGAGTTGAAACAAGGTGATCATGTCACTATTGCCGCTTCTCAATACCCATTCCCCACCGTGGTTAGCTCTCCATCAGAGTGGTTTGACAGTGTGTCCAGAACTCTAAGATGGAATACTCGTGGTGCTATGCAAAAGGCGTGGGATGGCACCGAGGAAAATAAAGAAGACGAAGCTGAATGGGATATCGATACTGATTCGGCCTGCTATGGTAGCGAAGACAGTAGTCTCAGCGCAAGTCCTCTGAGACGACAAATGAGCATGCTTGGCATGTAAACGTTTTCAATTGTCTTGCAATTGCCTCTGGTTATACGCGAATTTGTTATACAATTCCCTGTCTTTACAAGACATGCATTACTACATATTGTATTATTTATTACCTTCTTTCTCACATACAACCCGAGATCAACAAGATATGATGCGGAATTTTTTCATTTAGAACTTGAAGGCGTTGGTTTTTGCATATTAGGCGAATAGGTGTTGGAGATTTAGATGTCAATCAAAGAATATACATTTTAGGGACTATTTACAGTAGCTACGACTTAGATACGAATACCATGATTTTTGCTGGCCAGTTTGTCAGCTAATAAATTGTATACTTCTTCTGAGTTTGATGAGTTTTTTGTGATGTGATACGAGTAGGTTAATAATGTATGATGTGTGGTTTTGATTCACATTTTGTGATTCATAATGCTTTGGCGAGTTAGTTATTAAAGGGGAACGATTGATGTGGTATGATTTCGCTTGATTCGATTTGAGTAAATGATATCGGTGTGTGTAAGAAAGATTAATAAGTTCTACTTAATCTTTCATCGACATATGAGAGTTGTGTTGATTTGAAGCATCTGGACGTAGAGCTGAATCTTCAGTACACTATTTCCTGTGATTCTTGGCGTATTTGTTGTTTTGGGGGAAGGGGAGGGGGAGAGTTTCGTGTAGGTAGGTATTTTTTCATACTCAGGAAAGTTTATACGAAGGAGGTTTTGTGTGTGAAGTGAAGTCTTGGATTTGAATGATTGTGATGGGGTTTGTAGGGTTAGATGAGAGGAGAGGAGAGGAGATGAGATGGAGATGAGATGAGGTATGGTACTTGTGTTAAGATTCTCACTATGTTCGAAAATCACAAGGGATATCTCTTCGTTCTCTGCTATCAATTTTCTCAGTGATCTGCTTAATATTGTATTGTTTTATTACTACTGGATATATAGATATATATGTGTGAACAAGGGTATTCACTTCAAAGGAATGACTTCAATACAATGGCTACTGTATCAAAGGGACTAAGCGAATGCGAAAGAGACTAGCTCTTTCAGTAGTGCCTATATAAGGTCTACTACTTTCCTACATAGCTAGCTCTTTAGATAGAATACAATTAGACATATAGGACCTATAATACGTGGGTGCTACGTCTTTCGTATCCTTCTCGAACTAATAATATAAATGTGTATTCTTATTCTCAATATTTTGGAAATGCTGTAGTTCTTGGTTTCTTTCAAACAGAGAGAGAGAGAGATGTTTAAACAGATGAGTTAGAGTATATTTCTTGAAGATATGAGATAGAGGGGTAGAGAAATAAATATCATACGTATTATTTAGAGGAAAGAAAAGAGAGAAGGCAAGCGAAGCGAAAAGAAGATTTATATAATATAAGTAGAAATTGAGAATACTTTTTTCTCTATTCATGTAAGTATTTATCTTTTTATTTGTTCATAAATGTATCTTATAGATTTATATTCTTTTGAATAGTTATAATTGTAATATTCATTACTTATAGATTTATGAATTAGTGAGGAGAGGATGTATGTATATATATGTATGGAAATGTATCTATATACAAAAAAAAAAAAAATATATCTATACTATATGTGTACGATAGTATTGTGTATTATAGTGTAGTGTATTATAAGCGAGTAAATATATAGAGAATGATAGGGGAGGGAAAGAGGAAAAACAGATATCTAGCAGGAAAGACAACGAAGAGAACAATGTTTGAAAGTTTTGCTTTATGGAATTTTAGTGATTAGATTCGATTAGATCTAGAGTGGAGAGAAGAATGAGAAAGAGAAGAGAAAAAACGTGAAAGAGAGAGGAGATTGAGGAAATTTTTGATACGATAATGATAATGATAACTCTTCTCTCATGTATAATCGGATTATAATCCAAGTCATTCTATCTCATCTCATCCTACTCAACTCAGCCAAATTCTTAAAACATTATTTGCCCACGTATACACACAAACAATAAACACAACCTCTCTCTCTCTCTCTCTCTCTCTCTCTCTCTCTCCCCTCTCCCCCCTCTCCCTCCCCATCCTATTATCCCATACCCACCTACCCACCTACTCACCTATCTATCCAAACAAACAAGTAACTAGATACACAACATCCATTAGCGCCCATATTTTAAAATATATATATATAAGGATTATCTACATATTCATATATGCATATATATATATATATATATATATTAATCCATAAATATATCCTAGATATACAGGCTCATTAAAAGCTCCCTCTACCAATACTAATACCAATACCGATTATAACTAGATATAAAAGAAAGGATGAAAGAAAGAGTGAAAGAAAAGAAACACGACTAGCGTCTCTTCACTTATTCATTCATGCGCATGTTCACATATCTAGAACTCACCTCACCTCATCTCACCTACAACCATATATATACAATGACAAAATCACAAAAGATTCACACTCCCTGCTCTATCAGACAGACAGGCAAACAGACAGATAATTCCACAAAAATTAATACAATTGAAATTCTCAATCACTCGCGTCGAAAAAAAAAAAAGGCAGCAAACGCCCGATCCTATTTATTTTTCCAGTACCCTACGCTTTGATACACAATGTAGGTATGATATGGTTATGAGACCAACCAACCATCTATTTCCCTCCCTCCTCATGACTATGCTGTTCCTGATAGAGTCCCTATCTCATCTGCAACTTGCCGTCCATCCATCCATCTTTCCTTGCATCCATCCATCCAAAATATTATGTCATCTTTTTCCTCGTTTCAAATATCTAGTGAGAAGGTATATGAGTGGGAAATTGTGATGTGCCGGACATCTCTCACTCGTTGTAATGGTAGACCTATAATTCGCATTCATTAGTAAAAGAAGATATGACATGAGAACAAAAAGATGAGAAACAAAGAAAAAGAGTAATATCACAAACACACCTTATAATTAGGCAAACCAAAAGCCTCCCAACCCAATCTCTTTGCCATCTTTGCAAATCCCTCTGTTTCAATCAAATGATAGAACGCAAATGGAGGGAACATAGCCCCATCACGATGGACCTCTGCCTTGACCATCAATGCCGTTCCTCCTACCCCGTCGAGCGGAATCACATCTTTGGAATCGCCAGTGTCACTGGCAAGATATGCCATCAATGTTCGATATGTCGCCATATCCGCATAACCTTCCAATAAAATATCATCCGGGCCCATTGATTCCGCAAGCTTTCGTGCCACATCGCTATCCTGCCAGCTGTTGAAATCGTAGGCGCGTTCCGACATGCGTTTATCTTTCGTATCGTAGTATCTCTGGAAACAGTTTGGCACAATGATGGCTTTATCGTGCGAAGCCAGATCTTGAATCAAGGTGGGAGGAGTCTCGATAATATCCGAATCTAACCATAGCACCCAGGACACGGAGGGTCCCAGAGTCGTGAAGAGGAGAGAATTTCTAGCTCTAGACATAGCGGCTCTTCGTGCCTTTTGATTCTCCATCTTGTGTCTCTCGGTTTCGGATTGGGATGCGATGGGAGCATCGAAATCTTGTCGTTCGATAATGATGCTTGCGAAACGATTCTTTTCCGGGCCCGACTTCTGAGTCTTGGTAACCTGTTCCTGCAATGCTGCTGTAGCGGCATTTCCTTCCTTGTTGCGTGGGATGATAAACGCGAGAGTGATAAGTTCATGCGGATACGAGAGCTTCAATAAGTTATCCCAATACTCCTGATAGAATCTTGCCAAAGGTGTCAAGATGAGAATCATCTCTCGGTTCGCCAAAGGATCAGCGGTACTGGTAACATTATTCATGTGGTAATGAACCACGGGTGGTGGTATGCGTTTCCCGCTCTTTGTAGCTTCATTTTGTTTGCGAAAGGGAGAGGTAGGTGGTGAGAGGGGATTGGATGCGGCGCTGGCTCTTCTTAATTGCGAAGCTGCTGCGTCGGCGTTGGATGGGGAAAAGAGAAATACGAATATTATGATACATAAGGCCACACCCACAATCAGAGTGAGTGGGTTTGTACGCCGTAAAGAGCGGACTGGGCCCATGGCGCCGTTGTACTGTTCGAAAGGTTGTCCTCAATCGATAGTCTTGTGAAGATCCTACGAGCGCATTTGTCGAATCTGGAGCTATGGGGTGTCTGTCAAAAAGAGGTTTGATGTCGTAGCTGGTTATGTCTGTATTTCGGCCCGTGTCGCAGATTGGATAGATACAGAATTTAACTAAGCCAACAATCTCTCTTTGACCCCAAAGGATTGAGGAGATTAATGGATTCGATTGTCAATGGGAGTCGGTACCCTTTTTTCTACAAAACTCCTAGAATATCACTGGGTATGAAGATAGACAAAATGAGTGTAAAGTTAAGTTTAAGTGAATCAAGTCGATCTTTCATTAAAAGTGTTGATGGCTGCTCTCTCTTACTTTTTACCTCTTGATGAATTGTGATGATTTGATTGGTTGGGATTGAATTTTAGAGGATCACATAATGATCTGGACACGATATGTTTGATATAGCTAGGTATGGAGGTGTAGGGAGTAGCTGATTGATATGAGAATTTAAAGCTATTTAAGGTGCAATTGGGGATTCTGGTGGCTCAGGCTTATTGTTACCTGGGTAGGAAGATAGGTGTCCAGTAAGTACATCCTAATATCACCATCATCATTCGAGAAGCAAGCACAGTCAGTACGAGTAGAGGAGAAAGTTGACATTGATGTTGGTGTTGGTGTTGTGATTTGGAAAAAGGTGAATAGGGGTACTCGAGAATAGTCGATAATACTCGATAAATGTGAATGTACGATATATAACAAGAGTATCTCAAATTATACCAATATATTTACAATAAATAAATAAATAAATAAATACAATTAGGATCTTTCTTTCTTTCTTTCATTCATTCTTCTCGTATTTTCTCCACGTCATTAAACTACTTCTCAAGCACCGGGACGTACCTTTATGGTTCTCCATCGAGTTTCCATCTTTTCATCCACCATGTTCTTCAGTATGGGAAATCCATTTGATAGTACCGTACCCCGTGAGTTACAAATACAGTAACACACAGACAGACTCTTCATCATCGATTTCGATATCGACACTCAAGACAAGCAAGTGACAGGAGACAATGTCTATACACACCTCACGATTGAGTTTTGACTGAAGATTCAAGACATTTCTAGAACTATCACATCATATACTCTGTCTGTATTGTATCACCGGCTCACAGCACGGAGTATGAACACATCGACCTCTGCTTTCCAAATACCAAGGCTGTTTCATGTTCTGCTATCACCCGTGCCTCTCTTCCATTGGTACGTGTGACCCCTTTTTGTTCAAGGAAATGCGGCCTACCAAGGAATGAGTAAAATTTCCAAGCTCGCCTCATATTATACTTAATCTTCGGATACATACATGCGTGGGATTGGTTACCATGGTAGATTCAGCTACCGGGGAGAACGGATGAATAATCTTCTTGCTGTGGAATGATTTGTTAGGGAGGGCATCATTCGGATGTGACTCTATTGATGGCTATTTGATAAATAAAATAAAACTGTTGCCGACTGTTACGCTGGTGGCAAATGTATGGTTGTATACAGATGTTGAAAAGGTGCTGTGACTGGATACTTTGATGGAATCTTCATTGAATTCAAAGATAGGAGATTTTTAGCATCTCTGCCTCTGCCTCACTGTATGGTCTATCTTGAGGCGATGATAGATCTGTGAAGTTGACTGGTAACGAACACTTCACCACCTCTATCTCGACAAATCCATCAGTACCTACCTACGATACGTAACTAGTAATTAAAGTCCTTAACAAGGGAGGAGATTTATCTCTAATATCCCATCTCATCTCCTACAAACCCAGATATAACATGATAACTTCATACCAACCCAATGACTCAAGATTGTCTGATCGATACCCACGATACAAATTTCCATATCCACCAAAAAAACGTGGGACAATCCATAGGTAAATCCTCACTTCTCCATGCTATCTATCAAGCAAACTGGTATCATACAGAGAACTACAGATGGTACTTGATCATGTAAACGCGAGTCAGTACCAATCCGTACACAGAACTTGAAGCAATACAATTGCACGATAATACAGCGATAAACCTACCAACCTCTCTCCAGCCTACCCATCACAAAGAAAGGTACAAGGAACCATTCCACAGCCAACGTATAAACATCAGATATAAGAAATCTCAATTAAACATCCTCAGGTTCCGGATTGCGGCTTGGCTTGACTACGCTCAAACGAATTGATTGTTTTGGCCTTCATGTTGGCTTGTGAGCTTGTCCAACTGTAGATCATGCTGCATGATACCGCGTGGCAGCTACCTACATCGTACATGAACGAATTGATTGCAAACATTCGAGAGGCCGCCATAACCGTTTTTTTTTTAATAAAAAAAAAGAAAAAAATTATAGAGGGGCTGGAAAGGTTGAAATGAAACATCATGCTAGGTGATGGAAGGGAGTTTGGAACGGGAGAAGATTCGAACCCGCATGATCTGTGACACGGGGGGGGGGAATGATTGTCGGGAACAAAGCTGAAGGGAGGGAGAGAAAGAGGGAGGAAAGGTAGGATGATGGGTATCTTATACGAGAGAAGAAGCTGGTGAGTTTTATGGGGATTGTTACATTTTGTAATGTTGTGGAGGAAAGAGGACAGAGGATAGTAGAGGATAGAAGACGGAGTAGGACAAGGAGCAAAGAGGAAGGAGGAGGTAAATACATCCATCATAATTTGTGTTACAACCGAGGTCAATACTCTATCATATACTTTACTCATACATAGAACTATACATTACAGTTCAGTCAGGTACACAGAGATCAGTCTCGCAGGCTGCATGATCGAGTGAGAGTCTCGGAAGAATACGAAATCATGGCAAGCCTCCCTTTCCCTGAGTAACGCCATTCCATTTAATTATCCTCTCTCTGTATGCACGTATGCATGCATCCATGAAGCTGGCGGGTTGGAGGATCAGATCGTTGAATGTACATAGTATGTTGATTGATGCATTTTAAAGATGGGGTGCATGGTTTTGGGGGAGATATGGAATATGGGGAGATTCGATTGGTGCTTTTACTCTGGTAAACGCTGTGCTTTATCATGGATTTTGTGATGGTTTCCCTCGGTTCTGGGTTGATTCTCCAATGCAGTAATTGAATGACTATTTGGATGTGTGTTTGGATGTTTTTGTGGAGATGGTAGGTAGGTAGGCATCTATGTATGTATGTATGGTTATTGCATTTATTCTCTGCCTAGTACCAAGTAATATAGTAATTGAATCCTCATGTATGTTGTGTATGTAGATGTATGTAGATGTATGTAGATGTATGTAGATGTATGTAGATGTATGTAGATGTATGTAGATGTATGTAGATGTATGTAGATGTATGTAGATGTATGTAGATGTATGTAGATGTATGTATGTAGTATGTACGAATAGATATAGATGTAGATGTGTGTCTACCTAGAAACTACTAGGTATTCCTTGATAAGATCTGAGGCAGACTGGCAGTGAAGAGATGGAGTGGAGTAGCATCGAATAGATCTAGACACAATCCTTTCTCTTCTCGGAGTGACCGCCACCAGCAACGATCTTTGTGAGAATTGTTCGTCTTCAAACCAAATGCGTGTATGCGTGCGTGGTTGAGTACGAGTATCTAGGTACCTAACCTTATAGTGAACATGGAATCTTTTTCTTTCCAGACTCTTGAGTCTTCTAGTCTAGAAGACTTTTCCATTTAGATTCTATTTAGATTCTATTTAGATCCCAAACTACGAAAAAGAGAAGGGTGACTAGTTATTTCATAGGTATAGTTAGTTATAGTCATAGTCAATGTTATATTCATACTCATAGTCACACTCATAGTCACACTCGCGTTTCTCATTCGATATCAAAGATATCCTGGCCATTTTGCACAATGTTTTTCCTTCACCGATACTTTTCCATCCATCATTGGTACCTTGACTGTTAGTTTATTGATCTACTCAAGAACCTAGGAGAAGAACCCTTTAAATTGATAAACCTCCGAAGTGGAAGCTCTTTCCTGCATCTTTTTCCAAACCATCAACTCCATCTACCGGCCTCCCCAAAAGAGATAGATGATCGCGCTCCTCTCCCACTCCCCCCCTCCCCAATAATAATAATAATAACAATAATTAAGGAAATTCCTGGTTCATAAGAAACAAAGCCTTCCCCAACTTTAGTAAACATTTGAGCATGAACATCAATATGAGCATGAACATCAATATGAACATGAACATAGACATGAACATGATGACATCTGCATGAACCAACCATATGCTATCAATCACATCAATCATATTTTGACTGACTTCATTTTCGCTTCTTTCTTCTACAGATAATTCTATACAGATAGTACTTTCACCTTTTTTATTTCATAACCAGAGAGACTTCATTTCTTATATAGAAAAGGGGAAGAATACGAGAGAAGACTCCTCCTTCTACCTTCTACTTACTCCCTTTCTTATCATCCCTCTCTCCATCCCTCTCTCCCTCTCCCTCTCCCTCTCCCTCTCCCCATTCTTCATTCCTCTTTGCGCTGGTATCGCGAAACTTCCAAGAAAACATTACTGTACAAATACAATACAATACAATACAACTCAACAATACAACACAACACAACAACATAAAATCACCCTTCACCAAACAATATTGATTCCCAATTCAACTTGGAAAAAAAGATATTAACCACTCAAGGAAGAGAGACACGTCAAGACTCAAGATTATCCAAAAAAAGATTTTTGTTATTTTTCCTTATCGATTGCAGCAAATAAGAAATCACCCGCGATATTACCTTCCTGTACCTCTTTATCATATATTCACCAATACAGCCGTTCCATGCCGTTATTGGGTCCTCACAAAGGTCGCATATAATCATGGAACCCGTGCCTGAACTCCACTCCCTCGAGGAATTCAGAGCATCTCCAGTTCCAAGATTACGATTACAAGAATCTGCCCTCTACGATAGTCAAACTCCGATAAAGGATCGAGAACAATCTAGCAGGCCGCCGAATCTTCGTCGAACTACAGACCCAATACCTCAAACGCCTCGTTCTCTAGGATGGTCATCTCCTGTTACTCCTCTAATTCCTTTTCGTCCTCGAAATACCTCACCCTATGCTAGAGGTCATTTTAGATCAAGATCAAACGGCAGTGCTCTCGCACCTCCAATGTCGCGCGCACAATCACTCCCAGGCGTAAATGGGGCGGGTCATTTACTTATGTCTCCCCAGAGACCCGCGAGTCCTTTGAGTTCACCAGCTCGAGTTCGCATACCCAGAAAACCAGCAGATGAAGTGTTTCCAGGCTTTCCGAATCGTGCTTTGATCAATATTAGTGAAGACGGACAGTCGGCGATAGAGGAAGATCCTCCCAAAATGGCAGATCGAAGTGCCTCCCCAATTTTGGGTGTACCTTCCAATGGCAGTTATACACGAGTACGAAGACCAGCCTCCCCTTTACGACAGATTGCACCCACAAGTCCTTTGTACAGTGGCACAACACCCACGACACCATCCTCATCGACTTCGTCGACCTCATCCCCATCATACCACACAATGAAATTTGGCGAATCTTACCTCACATCCAATAATCCCACCAGTTCATTGTATTATTCTGGTTCATATGCATCTTCATCAGTTCCTTCTACGCCTACCTCGACTCGATCTCGCAGCCCAAGTATATCCAGTTTGGAAACAATACCTGATACACCAGATGCAGAAGAAGCTGCCTTGGAAGCAGAGAGAATTGCTCAGTTGAAAGCTGCAGCAGATGCGGCGGATGGGTATGAAGGCGAAGATGCTAAATCTAGAGGATTAGACACTTCAGGAGGCCGTAACAGAGTTTTGGGAGGATTTGGTACACGAGACAAGAGAAAGCGTTGGAGTGTTTGTGGTGCTGAGAGACGAGGCGATTTGAATCTAGATACTATTTGGGAGGATTGAGATTGTTGAACCACGATACCACGATGACGAATGTTCTATGAAAGTTTTGTTCCATGAGAAGATTATGGACCGAAGAAGTCAGTTGTTTACGGGATGCGCTGTTCAAATTACACGGCTTCAGCACAAAATTCCGATTCGTCCCTGCTGTACTCCACAGTCGAATTGTCTAGATCTGCATATCTAGCAAAAATTGGAATACTGAATGTCAATCAGTACTTTCCCTTGCTCATACATTATTGTACGATACCCCTTCAGCATTTTTGCGGGAATGGGTTTATTTCCCAAGGAGCATTATATTCGGCGTTATCAAGGGATTGGTATGGTAGCATTGCAGAGGTTATTTGATTTTTCCCAAACTGTAAATAGGAATAACGAAAGTGGCATGAATGATTAGGTTGAATGACAATCAGTTAGCTCCTATGAAAGGGCGAGATGAATTTGAGTGTGTGAAGTGTTTGTGAATTACTTGTTGCTTTCTTTTCTTTTCCTTGCCTTGGTTCGGTAAATATTTGTGCTCCCTTGCACTTGGGGCCCCCCTTTCTTACGAGTTGATGATGTCCCTCGCCTCGATGAGAATACTACGAATAATCTACCAAGGAGTAGGTTTATTGGGAGAAGAGAAGTGTTTCTCGATATACTTATAAGATTCGATGAATATCCTTTCAAAAAGTGGAAAGTTAGATAGTAGCTCGAATACGAAATCACATTCTTTTCCCTTGGTCTCAAGTCGTTCATTCGTTTCTTCACTCTCTTTGTTGGTAATATTAATCACTTGATTGGCACTCCTCTACACTTTCTTATATTTACTAAAGGATCTACTTAGCAGCTTGCTATTTGGCTAGCTTTTACATCTCAAATTCACTCGGAAGAATAATGCAACTCCTTACTGTTGTCGGCGCTATCGCCGTTTTGTCTAATGTCGTTTCGGCGGTTCCTCAACCGAGCGAGAAAATTGTATGTTATTTCGCTTTTGTGATTCCGTTGTTTTTCTTTTTCCTTTTTGGAGAAATTCATATGAAAATGTGCTAAAGAATCTCAGGAACAAATTCAAGAAAAACGTTGGGGCTGGCCGTGGAGTACTGATTCGGGAAAAGGTGGACATGGACATGGAGGTGGTTCGTGGGGTGGCGATGATAATGATGATGATGATGATGATGATGACGACGACGATGATGATTCGAATACTTCGATTCGATTACTCTTGCCATTTACACATCCGCATTTGGTGGCTGAAGAAACGGGAACTAGTACCACGGTTTCTGGTACTTCCTTTTCGACATTTGTATCCAGCTCATCTATTGGTAGCTCTTCGGCAACAAATGTCTTCGTTTCCGGAGGTGGAGCTCTCTCAACTACAGTCTCAACTATTTCTACAATTACAGATCCAATTCTTTCAGCTACCCCCATTGTAATCGAAACATCAACATCTCCATCCCCATCATCCACTCTCTCCGCAACCCTCATCATCGACAACACATCCCTCACTCTCTGCTCCGCACTCTCCACCAGCATCGTCACCGTTACCGAGAGCTGCACTAGCACACAATGGATTACTGTTATCGAGAGTGGTTCTTCGACTTTCACTCCTTTACCATCTACAAGCCCCGTACCAGTATCGGCGACTTGGACCACCACACCGTTGCCTTCGGGCTCGCCTTCAGGAGCTGTGAGTAACGGAGGTAATTCGACGGGGATTTGGACAGTCACTCCAGTGGAAACGTCAAGTAGGATTTGGACGACGAGTATGGGGAATGCGAGTGTGATTTCTTCTTCTTCTTCTTCTTCTTCTTCTTCAGCACTGGAAACGGGAACGGGATCGACGACCGGGTGGACGAGTATCAGTGCAGCACCTTCTGTATCGAGAAATTCCTCATCGTGGGTTTTGTCATCTTTATCATCAACATCGTCATTGATATCAGTAACATCGACACCGGCGACTTCAACTCAAGAATCTACTTCGACGACTCTTCTTTTTTCTACAACTACGATTCCCTATTCCTCATCTTCATCCTCCCTCTCATCCTCGTCAATCTCCAGCTCCCTCCCATTCCCCTCCTCCTTCTCCTCCCTCTCCATCCCCGCCCTCCCCATCTCCACCGGCACCACCGATCTCCACCCCAGCACCACCATCGCCTTCACCACGACCGTCACGACCATCCAAGCGAGCGGAACCCCCAATCCCGCCGCGGTCCATTGCGGACTACATGGCTTACCGGTGGGAGATTACTTCCTGGCCGAGTTTGTGGAGGATAAGGCCGGAGTGCCGGTTACGTTGCAGGGGTGTTGGGAGTTTTGTGATGTGAGTTTTTTTTGTTTTGTTTACCTGGTTTTGTATTGTGTTTGTTCTTTCGGTCTTTCTCCCGAGCTTGATTAATGCCTCTTCTTCTCTCCTCCCCCCCTGACTCCATTCCATTTCACTTCACTTCACATGAAAATTTTAATTTTTTTTCTTCTTCTTTTTTACTTGAAGAATACAACTAACCCCCACCACCCAAAAAGGGCGTATACGGCATAGATAAAGGATGCGTCTCCTACTCCTTCTATCCGGAACCGGGCACGGGCGCACCCAGATGTGATCTCTTTGGTGGCAGCGTGGCGCAGAGCTTGGATAGCATTATTCCGAGTGTGCCGAATGTGTGGTTCGATTTGGAGTGTGGGGATCCGACGTTGAGGGGGTGAGTTTGGGGGTGGGGCTTGAGGGGGTGAGGGTGAGGTGTGATGAGGTATCAGAGCGGAGACGAGAAAGAGAGAGAAGTATCATGAAGCGAGCGAGCAAAAAACAAAGCAGAGAGGTATCCACGAAAAGTCGCAAAGACTCGAAAATAATTCACACAACTACAAAGCACAACTTCACAACAAAGGGGAAAAATAGTATAACTATATCATGGATCTCATCGCATCTAATCGTGGCTAATCCCAGCCGTCTGTTATATTTTCCCTTCTTGTTTGGGTTTGGTGGAGGGTTGGGGGAGGGTTGTGCTGGGGAGGGGGAGGGGGAGGGGGAGAGGGAGGGAGATGGAGGGTTGGGGGAGGTTAACTTTAATTTTAATTTGTTAGATTAGTTGAGTTAGTTGGGTTGGTTAGATCAAGTAGATTAATTAGATTAGAAAGGGGTAATTTACTGAGTTTGATTGGACTTGATTGATTGATTGATGGGGGTTTTGTCTTTGTGTGTGTGTATGTGTGTGTGTCTGTATATCTGGATGTAATGTGAATATATACCACACATATCATATAACAAATCAAAATCCCCAACAATCCATATACTATTTTGAATATCCAGATATACCATATCGCAAATCAAAAGAATCTTTTCTTACTCTAGAATTTTGAAATTATGAAATTATAGAATCTTAGATTCGCAGAGGAAAACGGGTATTATTGTATGATTGTGATTGGTTTATGTTTGTGAGGTGATGTGGGTATAGGTATAGGTATAGTTATAGTTATAGAGAGTTTACTGTATTTTACCATAAGATAACAATTTTCTATTCTTTCAAATTCCAATAAAATAAATTCCATGAATTCTGTTTGCATAACTGAGCTGTATTGAATTAAGATTGGATCTCTTCTAATTTGGGAGGAAAAGAGAGAGAGAAGAGGTTTGAAGGTTTTGTATTTATCAAAATGGATTCCATTTTGAAGTGAAAAGGGGATGAATATATAGTAAGCGAGGTAGGAGAGCGGATAATGAGAAGAGAGGGGAGTGCTTGTTTGTGAGATATAGAGGTATCGTATGTGTATGTGTATGTATATGTATATGTGAGTTTTACGGTTCAAACACGGATTACTAGAGTGTAGAGGTATAGAAAGTTGAGGTGCTTAGAGACGAGAAAGAAGACAGGAGAAAGGAGAAAGGAGAAAAACAGTGATTTCTTGTATTCCGACTCACAGGTTCAGATAATATCAAGCTGTGAGATTTCGGGATTTCGAGATTTTAGAGGTATTGTATGCAGTATGTAGTATGAATATATCTAGTCTAGGTAACTACCATACGTATCATAGGTACCCGTGGACCCATACTTAGGACGTATTTCGGACACGCCAAGCGGAGGAATCATCGGATGATTACATACATTGATATTCGGTAGGATTCAGATGTAAGACTATCGTAAAGAGAATTATAAAGTGTATTCTGGATCCATGAGGTTGGAGATGTGGTTGGGATGTATAACCGTATTCCAAGGTTGGATTGGATCAATGAGTTGAAAATAAGCTAATAAGCTATATTGAGGTCTCGTTTGTTGTATATCGACTGACTGGTATCTTGTGTGCGTGATTGAGGGGGTTGACCGTATCATTCTATCTAGGTACATCAATCATTCAATCAATTGATCAATCAATCATCCAACTTATGATTGAGATACTCAAGAGCTCAAACAAAATAGGAGAGGAGATGAATGTGACGATTGGTACATCGTACGCGAATCAGACGAGACAATAGGCAAACACAGCTATACAAAATATATATAGTTTCTCTTCTCACTCCATTCATCGTACCATCAAAACATTCTAACTCAAGAGCAAAATTTTGATTTTCAAGACGAGTCCAGTCATGTACCATCTTCGCTTGATTAGTAAAAAGTAACTGAATATCATACGCACAATATATACAATTTCCACTCATCAATAATTCACCGTACCGTCAAGATATCATAAGCAACATGTAAATACTAAGGTGAATACCCTATTACGGTTTTCCAACCGTCTTGGATTGATCAAGAAACGGTGACTGCACTTTGCGTCAATGACCGTACACATATCTATTAGAGTTGAACCTCTTGCATCTCCCCCTTATAAGCATCCAACATTCCCAACCTATCCCACCCATTCATTTCATCTTCTCTCTCTTCTTCTTCAACAGTGCAAAGTCGAGAACACAATCAAACTCCAAATCGGATTTTTTAATAAGAGAAAGTCAACTACCTACTTACCAATCCAAACCACAAACCAGACTTTCGGAGACCAAACCCACCGATAAATTCATCAAGAATTCTCATACCCACTACTTCCAAACGCACACGAATAGAAAAAACCAATCAAGAACATTCAAGATGATTTCCATGGGCTGTACACCAAGATCGGTCTACACCAACACTGTCGAAGGAATTTTGGTCTTCTTCATCCTTACCGCGGCCATCTTTGGTCTTTGGGCTCTTGTGAGCTTCCTCCAAATGCTCTTACGCATGTCGCTCGGGATGTGAGGAATGACCTTCTGATAAGTTATTCGTAGGGGGTAGAGAGGTCGATTCTGCTGGGACTAGCAGAAGAGATATGATACGATTTGGTTATCATATCTTTACGCGCAAAGAGTAAGGGTGCTACTACCAGCACGGGGACGCGACGCGCTTGAAATATCGCTAGGTGGCGCGAATGTAAGATATGACGGAAAACCTGGGAGAGGGAAGGGCTACATATTTGGTAAATTCAACATGTAAAGGCTGTGTGGGCAAAATTCGCGGATTAGGAGTGATAAATAGTGATGGACTGAAAGTCTATTCATTGCATCATCTGCGGTCTCGGGGAATATTGATAGTATTGATAATTACATCATTATCATACCAACTGAATACAATGACTACATGAGTGAAAACAACAATGTGAAATTAAAGTCTCCAAAGTGAATCTTGAGAGCGATTAAACCTTGACCAGAATGATGACGTCGTTATTATTCTACATTATTAAAATCGTATTGATTTATCGAATATAATTTCTGTAGAACACTAGTATCCAGCGCTTATATTCACTCACAACGTAACTAGAGGTATTAATCACAAAAGTATCTAATAAATCCTTCACGAGGTTAAAACATTCTCAATCATCAAGTGTTATATCTTTTTCTCAGATACATATTATAAGCATACTACTAATTGGAATTTTATGATCCGAGACACTAGCAACTATAGAGACAGCCATATGCGATTTATATCATTATGTCAATTAAGACAGCAGCTTAAACTGACCATGGATGATTTTTTGACTCAATCTGAATAGGGGAATAATGCTAAACGAAAGAGCAACAGGCATTAACTTCATTACGTAGTTGTCCCGAAAAGACCTGATATAAAGTTAAAACGTCACGCCAATCACTCTTCTTAAATACAACTAATAACCTCTACACGAGATAAATCGACGTATAACAGAATGAGAAAAACAGAGAGTCATACAGGATAGAGCAGTCTCGCTTCGGGAGTATTCATGAACTACGGATTTGAAGAGTCTCCAATATTCGCTAAAGTGGAAATATGTGTGCTCAAGAGACAGGAACTATAAGGAAATTGTGTATCAAATAACATTTCTATTTACAGAATTGATCTACTCTATTTTATCCCGCGCTTGAAGAATCAATGCTTAAAAAACTATATAACAGTAAAGATATCCCACCCTTGCCTAGATAGAGCCCATTGAACTGTTTACTTGCAAGGATGGAAGAACAAGATATAAGGGAGAATCTACCTAGCTGACTTCAGAGTGTAGTAAGAACCCCAGTACTTTTAAATCAAGAAGTAATACAAGATTCCAGTATCTTAAAGTTCTCTCGCAAATTTACAAACTTTAGACCAGTAGGCCAATATTAAAGCTAGTGCAAGATCAGTAAATAAATATGCAGCGAGATAATCATAGTCGCAAATGGTACTGTTGGTCGTTTCGTTGATGCCGCCGAGTGCCACTCTAGCTCTCCTCCGCCGCTTAGTCGCGCCCAATGGCCTTTCTCCTTATCCCGCGCACTCGGGAAAACTTTCTATTTGATCCTATCCCAAGTATGGATGAGCATGCAATGTTTGACGTGTTTTTCGAACCCTTAATTTCCATGTACACACGTGCTCAGTAGTACATTGACTGTTATTTCGCGCCACTATCTTTAACTGATCTTCTGCACAACCCCAACACGAGAGTAGGCTAGAATAGACGTGATCAACCAAGCAATAGCGCATGCCATTCAAACTGAAATATCGGATCGATTCCGTGTCCGCGCAGATCATGTTACTGTGCAATTACTTCTTCCAGAAAAGTTAGGGCGTCCGCTTCTGTATCTTGACGTGCTGTATTCCCATGCATCGTTAAATTCGGTCAAAATTCCCAACATGGCAGACATTTCACTGGCGTAGAAGGAGAAGCGTTTGGAGTGGTGGGTTGGGAGAGGTCAGCTGTATTCACTTCTGTTGGTCGACCGAAGAATGCAGAGTGAACGGCTACCCTGTTGGTGAAAGGTACTGGAAATCCAAATTCACTTAATTCAAACCCCATCTTTTGCGTTACTATGTTTCTTGCTCCCAGTTCCCAGAATTGTTGGATCATGTGAGCAACAATTGTACTATTCCACATCCCTTCTCGTCGCGGACATCGTAACAAGAGCTCCATTGCCGTTTCTCGAATGGAGCTATCGGGACAGTGGATACAGACGTAATAAAGCGGTGCTATAAAGCCAAAATCGCTACCGAACGTAAACGCCGGCTTTCCATTCATCGCATCCTGTTCCGCAGCTGCAATTAGCGACTTTGACAAGTCGATAATGATTTGAAAGTCGTCCATATATTTCAAGAACCTATCAGTGTCCAACAATTCAATCACAACTGTCATATCACTGATGTCGGGATACATTCCAGCCATGATTTTCACCGTTGTGTGATGTATTTTCAAGAGTGCGGCACCTTGCACTTCCCTGCTGGTGAGATCCTTGCCTTTGGATGACATAAATTGTTCAAATGCAAGGTTCCAAAGAGATAACTGGGAAGTGTATTTGTCAAATTTTGCGAGGCTTTCTGCGGATTGTAAAATGATAGGTAGACGGCGGCTGTATGTACTCAAGTTAGCATGTGTTTGGTAAATGAGATTAGTTTGGAAGATTCAGTCTAGAGAGAGACCATTTACTTACTCAAACAGGTAATAAGCCCTAAACAAACCATCTGTGGCCCGATCTAAAGCATTCCGCGCGTCTTCTAGATTGTTAAATTCTTCATAAATTACAATGTCTTTCCCGGAGACGTCGATCAACTTTTCAACAAAGCTCTTCCTCTCATGCTTACTTCTCGTCTCAACGTAAATGAAAGACTGTATCGACAGTCTCGTGAAAAGAGGAGCAATTTTCTCCTCAATGATTTGATTCCCTGGAGACGATTTCCTAATATCCCGCAGAATCCCAAGCCCGCTTTGAAGATGGACCATTGCTGATTCATAATAGCCTCGCAGGCTATCAAAGCACACAAAGAGTATGCAGGACATGAGAGCTATGAGCGGTTCTTCCTTCCCGTGTGATAGAGACCTCCGCAGTGCTCCCAAGGCTTTCGAGTACTGATTCAGTGCCAATTGGTAATTTTGATCATCCCCCGATGGGACGGAGTGCAGCCTCTTCCGTGAGAAGTCTTCATGCAAGGCTCCTAGTGCTATTACGGCATGTCGTAAAGAAGGCTTTTGTGTAGAAGCAGCCAGTATGAGATTTCCCCAAAATGATGAATCATAGTATCCAGATAGTTCCGCTGCTGTATTGCGAAGAAAGTAGTCGAAGCCTCTTTTTTCCTCCGCAGTCCCAGGTATCTGGACGGAAATTCGTTGAATGAGCGCTAAACAGTCTTTGAACGTTTGGTTGGAAATCACAATATCGCTACTATAACCATCACACTTTCGTCCGGTTGTTAAACAGCGCTGACAACTCGGTTTGGCCTCGTCACACTTGATTCTCCTGGTTCTGAAAACTGTGTAAGTTGGTGTCCCACGTATGAGAGGGCAATCTGATCTTACTTGCAGGTTCCGCATCCTGTTTTAACCTTTGGAGCAGATCGTCGTTTGCGTTGCTGAATCTGATCTTTCGCCATCTCGCTGATTGACATGATTTCATTTGAACAGGAGTAAGTCGTCAACCTGCCGGGCGACGTCGAACCTCATCTCTAAATATCATGGTCAAAATTCGGCGCAGTAACTCGTAGTCTGCCAGGTTGTTTGGGCTACATCTGCCGGCACGAAGGCACAAGGAAGAGTCCCAGAATACTGAATCCTAGCATGGTCCGTGCACACTCCACCAAGGCTGTTTTGTCAGATAACTTTAAAAACCTTAAAAACTTAAAGCCTTAAAAACTTAAAGCCTTAAAACTTAAAAACTTAAAAGCTTAAAAACTTTAAAGTTTTTAAACTTTAAGATGAGCGACTACCTCCCTGAGAAAGAACTTTATAGTAAACTTGAAATCTTTCAATTAGAAGAAGATTAAAATTTCAGAGAAAGAGAGACAAATATCAATCAGCTCCGATATGAGTGTGAATGTAGAAATTGAATTAGTAGAATTCTGAGCTAGAAGGAAAATAAGATAGCATTCAAAAGTTCAAGAGCTCTAGCATATCTACCAAGCGAGGAGGAATAAGTCATGTTACACCGCCTTGGTTTTGCCATTATAGAATCATTCTGCCAGCACAAACTGATACTAGCCAAAAAAGGCGGTGTGATATACCTCGGTAAGCTTTTACGAACAGACGAATCAGAATACATCAATGTGACTATGTAAGCAGATGAACAACCACGGGTGCATATTTAGTATGATCAAAACTTGAAATTTAACAGTCACCAACTCCATCTATCCTCGCTACCGTATTCTTCCGCAAAATTGACCGTACGCTAGCAACGACTAACACTTTTAGAGCCAATCGGCTTCCCTCTAAATGAAGTAATACCATCCAAAATAGAAGCATTTAACACAGAAGTACCAGGGATTCGATGGACCATGGATAACCCTTTGAGTGATCAAATCACACAAGTCCAGTGTTTACTGCAACCCTAAACCACGATGAGCTTGAATAATCAATCCTTGCTACCTAGTTCACGGAATCACGGCCAATTTTGCAAAAGGCCACGCATGCCACGGAACCGATTTACCGATTCCCATCTACCAGGGAATTTCCGATATGAAATAGACACTACAATAGAGGGGGCCATTATCAGAAATCTTGCGCAATTGAATATTCGTGAGAAAAGATGGTCCAGTCACTGATACCCATAGAGGCTTGCAATATCCACACTTTCTCTGCTGTTATGGAACACGAAGCACCTGCTCAGCTTATCAGATTCCAGACAAGTTCTGACACATTTTACACCATTATACCAAATGACAGCCTTAAAATCTCTATCCAAAAGGCTGAAAAGTAGTATTGTCAAGCCACATGTAGAATGATATGTTCGCAGCGTGGTGTGGACGTTTCAGTGACTCGTTTGACAGCCGCAATGCAATATATTCGTCTATGCCCATAAACTGCTACATATCAAGACTGTGAATTTGACGAACAGAATGCTACGAGCACTTCGACTTCGGTGGCTTCTACGATTACTACGGGGTTCCCAATTCATTGCGGCTTTCTGATGATCTGCGCTGGCTGGATGGTTCTAACTGTCATTTTTTACACCATTGCCAGAATCAGTTTCCTGAATGGTGTGGTGATCGGCTACATTCATGTTGCCGTCGAAACTGTGGCTGTGCTTTCATGGCTCGCTGGTTTCATTACTTTAGCTGTTCAGCTTTCAACCGACACATATTCGACCGGAAAAAACCCATGGAAGATTCTCATTGTGGAAACGGTCTTTGGTGCGCTCGGATGACTATTATTCATAATCGTCGCATCCTTGATTGCCATTTCCATCTTCAAACAGTTTCCCAGGCAATTAAGATTTAGGACTGTGCTCGATAGAGCTATCGGATTAGCTCTACATGATTCCTAGGGATCTCGAAACCATAACCCCATAGTAATTCTCACCATCGTAGTTCAAGAAAATATATGTTTTCTTAAATGGTTGTGCGAACATTTTATGTTCCACACAGGTTTTGAAAACGCAAAAGACCCAGACTTTGATATCACTGCTTTTGATCGAAACATCACCCAGTTATGTTACGTGATGAAATAGACGTAACGATGAAATAGATTCACTTTGCTACAAGATTATCTTTCTTCTTGAATCAATCTCCGCCCATAATGAAAGCGTTGACTGTGTTTTATTATTAAAAGGCTAGCCGAGTCCAATTTCTCCTGCGAAGGTTTGCCCAATGATTTGAAAGGCGCTTTAATAACGTTCATAATCAATACGAATGACAATATATTGCATTGATAGGCAATTTGGAAATATTCGGGGTCTGTTGAAAAAGCGGGGGAAGGGGGCTGGATGTGGCACGGACTCTGAAGCTGTTGCGCGGGTTCACGTGACTATACGCAGAAAACGCCAAAACGTGATCATGCATGTCAGATCTCCAATTAGTTGTCGGATGTGCAGTGACAAAGAGTCCCCCAAAGTTGTAGATGTTAGGAGAGTAATATGATGCACGAAAGTACAGATCGTCTACATCAATAAGCTGCAAATACACCATTGTTTCGTTGGATTATCTTTGAATCGTGAGGTCCGCATTGACAAGCTGAAATCGCCCAGCTTTCTGTGCGTGCAAGCCACACACTTCTTAAGATGTCAACTCGAACGAAAACTGTATGTGTGATTGGTGAGTGCACTCATCTTCCGATACTTTAATGACTAACGTTCACGGATTAGGCGCTGGTCCCTCAGGGCTCGTAGCAGCCAAAACACTCACTCACGATCATCCAAAAGGCACCTTTGACGTGACTGTTTTTGAGCAGTCGCAGAGAATAGGTGGATTATGGCCTATATCTCGTGATGATAATGGTCTACTAAATCCAGATATGTGTACGAATCAAAGTCGTCATACAGTCAGCTTCAGTGATTTGGCATGGTTTGCTTCATCGCCTGCTTTTCCGAGAGCATGGCAAGTCGGGAGATACCTCGAAGACTATATTAAAATGTACCCTGGATATTCAATCAAGACGGGAGTCAAAGTAGCCAAGGTCGAACCGCCATTCAATTGGCAAACCGCTTCAGCTACGTCAGGGAAATGGAATGTGCATGTTCAACATACTGGGCCTACCGAATCCCCACAGGTTCACGAATTCGATCAAGTAATTGTGGCCACTGGTTTCTTTGGAAAGCCTAAGATACCTGATAATCTTGCAAATCTTCCAGCTCCAGTCTGGCACAGTTCCAACCTTCGTGATGTCAATAGTGCGTTGACCGACAATGGAAGACTCTCTTCACCTAAGGGCAAGAACATTGTGGTTGTTGGAGGGCAAATGTCTGGCGTCGAAACCGCAGCAGCAGTAGCTTTGCAGTTATCCTCTTCCGTGAACTCAACGGAACGTCAGATTCCAAATGCAAAAGAATACAAGGTCTACAATGTGATTCAACAGCCATTTTGGGTGATGACCTTGACAATGCCAAATAACCCGAACATTGATGGTGTAAAGCCCGAAGCTGAACAGGTACCCAACGTCTATCTATCAATTGAAACTTGCTGCTAACACTCGCTTCAGATACCAAATCCAGCACCAAAATTCTTACCCCTCGATCTGGTCATGTACAATCTTGGATGGAAACCTCCTGGGCCTCTCAAAAACTCATCTGGTCACATATCACCAGAGATGGCAAAAGCAACTAACGAATTCTTAAACAAGTATCTGGGGACCGATCAGAGCGGAATAGGTACAGATCATCTAGCAATAGCAGGAGATGTTCGCTCTGAGCCACCACGACTTGCAGTTAGTGACAACTATGTCGAGTTTGTCCGAGCTGGAGATATTAAAACGATCCGAGGAAAGGTGATCAGTGCAGAACCCAATCAATCAAACTCCATCACTGTGGAGGAGAACGGAAACCAACAGGTAATTGACGATGTTGCAGCAGTAATATTGGCAACTGGTTTTGATGCATCTCCATCACTGGATTTTCTGCCCAAGGAAATCCTCCAACATCTCTCGTTTGATGAGTCAAGCAGTGAACTACCACTGGCCTTAAATTTACACTCCACTATTAATGCGAATCTCCCCTCTCTAGGCTTTGTAGGGTTTTATCGAAGTCCCTATTGGGGCGTCATGGAAATGCAAGCTCGATTCTTGGGAAAACTCTGGTCTGGCGATGTACATGCACAGAAGACCTTAGAATCAGACAATACCCTCGACGAACTTCTCCAGCTACGCACTGATCCACGACTCGCTCAATTTCCAATGGGTGATTATGCATACCTAATGGAATCATTTGCCACAGCCGTCGGGATCAAGCGACAAGAACCCACAGACGACCCAGAAGCACGTACAGGAATCGTACTTCCATCCCGCTACATTTATTCACAGGCAAGCCCTGCTCAGAAAGAACAAGCAGCACTCGCTCTCTCTGCCATCTCTTCCACATTCGATTCTTCCACACGCGGAAATTTTGTCTCTAAGGCCATATTCCGTTCACTCCAAGGGACATGGAGACTTTCCCGCTCTTTAAGAAGTTCTCTCTCCACCTTCCCCTCCGGTACCTTCACGGGAACCGCAAAATTTCTCCCTCGCTTCCCTACCACCCCATCTTTCGATTCCGAATACTTGTATATCGAAGAAGGAGACTTCGTAACGGATACAGGAATGACATTTAAAGCCAGTAGAAGATACGTATATCGATACAGAGAGGATACTGATACGCTTAGTCTATGGTTTGTCAAAACTGATGATAATCTGGGTGTAGATTATTTGTTTCATGAGATGGAGATTTTAATTCCTGAAGTCCAAGATAAGAGGGATGGACAGGCAAGGATTATGGGATGGAGAGCAAAGTCAAGTCATCTTTGTATTGCTGATACGTATGATGTGGAATATGAGTTTAGATTCAAGGGGGTCAATGTAGAGGAGTGGAGGCAGGAATACAGCGTTAAAGGGCCAAATAAGGATTACAGGATCAAAAATGAGTATAGACGGTAGATCTGGATGTTTGTAAAGGTACTGTGGATGGTTATGGAGGCTCTATAGGTAATTGAAAACGTAGGGGGTTTGTCAGACTATATCCTCGAAATTTTTGAATTCACTGCGTGCAAATAGTGCATCTTCATCGCCGTCGCTACAGATCTCTAGCTTTTTTCTTTTTCTACTACCGCTATAATACACACGTGATTCATTGCTATCTCCTACTGGTAGGATAGATTCAACTACGTATTGAGGGTTAAATTCCGAGTATTGCCGGGAGATTGTTGTCTAGTCAAAAATCACGGGCTGCCGGCAACAAATTGTTTCCACTGTTGTATTTTGACGTTCATCAACTAGTGTCACTAGTGGAAGTAAAACCCGACCGCATCAGGGAGAGACCCAACTTGACATATTGCTTTGTTATCCATTCTAAATTCCAACTCTTGACCAATTGCGATGCGATGTTTGATGGCCAGACTAGGTTGCAATCATATGTACTATTTCTCAATATTCTAATTGAGATTGACAACTCGGCTCTTTTTTCAAAACTTCACAGCGACATCGCGTGAAATCCACCTTGGGCATCGCGACATCTCTGATAAGAACGATCCATTTTCTCACACATAAGTTGTGAAGAACCCATTCACATGGGACATGTGCATAGGGATGAAATTTTCATAGCAACTATGCTACCCTACTATCAGCATCAATGGGAAGGTGCTCTCGAGATTTATAGCACAGATCCATTCTCAATACTACTCGCGCCATCGATGACATCTTCGAAGATGGCGATTCGCATGATACCCAACAAAAAATCTGCCGAAAATTATAACCTTCCCCAACAACATGGGCATTAAGCCCTATCTCGCCAAGGTCCCATGATATTGCATCTGCAATGTATTCCTTCGGATGCGAGAACTCAAAACATCACATGCAAATCTATCCTTTCCACCAACCGTTATTACTTCCGCATCACGGGTTACTTGTTCGGGCCGTTAAAACCAAGGTGGAAGATACATTGTGGAAATAAAAGGAGAAGTACATGCCGTGCATGCGTTCATAGAGATTTACCGGGCAGTATCTGGAACCTGATTGTATGTGCAAATTTGATCGGCACATGTTGTGTTTGTATGCTGTGGAAACATACTTATCTTGGTGATCATGCAGGGTTGCCCAGCTTCCAATTTGGATCAAGCATATCGGTGATGAAGACCTTCTTGGTAGACTTGAGCTTGTATTATAGGCTAATATGCCAGCGCGTATCATTTTTTAAAAAGTGGGAACGATTCTGTACCACGGGACTTTCTTTTTTTCTTTTCACGTATATGATTCTTTATGATTGATTGAAGGATTCGGATCAGTTCTATATCAAAGTTTTGATATCATATTATGATCCGGAGATGGGAAGCAGTCTTTCCATCGGGAGATACAATGGGATCAACACAAGGGTGTCAAGCTGAATAATACTTCATTCTTCGGATGTTTCCCAGAGATTGGCTGGATCAATGACTTTATATGGCAAGTCATGTATCACGATCTAATCTTTTCTTTTATCTGAAGTGCTTGATACATAAATGCATGGTTTGAAAGCACTAGTAATATCTCCGACACTTTTATCTCTTGTAGCTACAGTTTGCATGCATATGTGCATATTTTGATAAACCTCAAACTCCAACTGCTTATTTTGTTCCCGTCTTTATCGATTACATTCGTAACAGTTCGTCATTGCTCCTCGAAACATTCTCCGTGGTTCCCGTCTGAGGCTGTGAAAAGGCAGGTGTCCGATTGGAATGCTTCCATGAAGTATTATATCAGCCCAATTTTTACTGGGGTGTCAGACGACGCCATCTCTCGGATTTCTTGTTGATGAATTCAGCCCATGTGGCATGTTTATTAATTAATGCTTTATGTTATTTAATATATTCACTGTCCTCGCTGCGTTCACTGGGACAACTCTCTCCGGTTCTACGGTTCTACGTACCCCGCATGGTAAGCTTAAATTTACAGCACCTGCCCAAGTTCGACGCTGTTTCTTCGAAGATCCCTTCAGCACAACACACAACACAAAGCTGCAGCACGATATCAAAATGTCGAGATTTTTCAACTCCGTACTTCTTATCTCTCTCCTCCTCTCTGTCGTTCATGCGGCTGCAGTAGTCACTAGTGCAGGAGGCTTTATGAGCAAATGCGAGGCCTCTACCTTCAAATTCTACGACGACATCGAATTAGGTCCTGCTCCTCAATTTACCTTTACCATAACACCTATTCTCTCGGGTCTCTGTCCTGATTCTTCTGGCCACATGTCAAATTCTACTTTGAATTTGAATACATGTCTCGGAAACAATGATGCCCATCTTGTCGTAAGGCTTCCATCCCTTATATATTTTAGATTCTCATACTGACATCGAGAAAATAGTGGCAGAGAAAGTAAGCAATCTCTCATTTCCAACCCTTTTCAGCTTATTCTAACCATTAACTACGTAGTGGCATGTTCCAAAACTCCTGCGGCTGTTCACTCCAAATGCCAAACCTCTGCTGTGGTTGCGGTAAAGCAAACGGCGGCACAGTTCCAAGCGGTGTCTGCGTTGATCTCAGTATGTTTATTCCTCCTTCTCTTTTAGCATCTGATGTGTTTTTCTAATACACACAACAGATAAGGGAATCGCAACTTCAGGCGGAAAATTGAATTGTGATAGTCTTCCCGGCAATTAAGAGTTTAGGGCTCACAGAACAAATCATCTAGTTGAGAAAAGGTTCATGGAGGAATAGCATGGTATTGCGTCTGGGTATGGGGTTATGGCATTGGAGGATTTGGGTTCCCCGGTTTAGGCTTTTCGGCGTGGAATGGAATGGGATGGTGATGTTGGGTTGGGAAATTCTAGTACACAATTTACAATTGAATGAAATGAATCCAGTACCGGCGTTTGCAGTTGTGTTTTAGGTTTTCGATTTCTAATTAGATGCCTACTTAGTTTGCTACTCGATGAAGTTGGTATGATTATCTAGGTACTTTTTACCGAATTCTATACCTGCACCCTTGTCTGATATGTTGGGAAATTTAGATGGTTAGACGGCTAGAGAGGGCTAACTAGAATGTAGATTCACCTTAATAAAAGATTCGGGCTATGCGTAGCTATGCGGGAGTATTAGTGCTATGTCATGATGATGTCATAAGGAACTGAACCATCTGCGTCGATATGGAATGTAATTTTAGATGTTTCATAGAAACATATTTACATCTGCGGTAGTAATGTGTCAGAACCTGGGAGGCCACATGTCATGTCCTCACAAAGACTGTATAGGAGAATACGCGATTTTTAATAGTCTGTATAATTTTATAATGCTCAAAGAGCTGGTATATTCCATTAGTCTAAAGATATATGCATAGGTTCATGTATATGAAACACGCCCTCTCCTCTTTTGCCACTTTAAAACCCTCTTCCTGGTCTTCTCGCTGCCGGTCTTCTCACAGCTCCCTTTGTAGCGACTTTCTTGACTACCGGTCCGCTTCCATCTGTGATAGCCATCGGTTTCCTCGCCAGTTTGTTGTTCTCTGCCTCAACTCTCTTTTCTTCTCTCAACTTATCCTCGGCCATCTTCACCTCGATCTCCATTTTTCTATTGAACTCCGTTTCAGTGACCCTCTTCTCCCTCGCACTATATCCCTTCTCTTTCACACTAAAGAAAACACCACCTAAATCTGCTAGCCAATGCGGATCTACCTTTGTAACAGTAGACATGTATTCTTTTGATGTAAGAATCAATTCATGATAAACGACATAATCAGGTAGATCTCCATGTCCGTAAAGTGCGGATGTAGGATGTAACTGTACTGTTACCGAAGTGCGTAAATTAACATATTCGCCTATTCCCTTGACTTTAGCGGCTTGGTGGTAATAACCTGAACAGATACACTCGCGTATAATGTCCCAATCAGCGCCGCAAGAAATCATGTTCATGCGTTGCATTTTCATAATGTCTAGCAGTTGATCTCTGATCTCTTTAGCCCTACGGAGAGATTTTGGATGGAGGAAATGACGTGTACACCAAGCATCCGAATGGCCATTGGACTTCCATTGTAAATAAACGTTCAGATAAGTCAAATGATCTGATTCTGGGACAAAGAACTTTTCGCGTGCGCTGTCAGACTCTTCCTGACGTTCCTTTGGACGGTAGAAAACACTAGGGACTGAGAGCATCGAAACTATTGTAAGCATCTCTTCGGTACAGCCGTATTTTTCGGACGTGATGAGTAATTTGGCCAGAGGGGGATCCATAGGAAATGCGGTCATTTTTCTCCCTATGTCCGTCAATTCCCCGATATTGTCAAGTGCCCCAAGTGCCCAAAGATCAAATAGTGAAGTAGTAATGGTATCTTGGGGTGGAGGGTCCATGAAATCAAAGTCGAGTAAGTCTTTCACCCCTAAGGACTTCAATAGTAGAACTGTATTGCTCAGGTTTGTGCGTTGGATTTCAGGAATCGTTTGAATGTAAAGCTCGTCCTTGAAAGCGGCCTCAGTGAAGAGATGGAAAGCTTTTCCTGGGCCAGTACGCCCAGCACGACCAGCACGTTGAGATGCATTCGCTTGTGAAATCGGCGTGATCTGCAAGGTATCCATTCCCATGCGCGGGTTATACACCTTCAACTTCGAATATCCAGCATCCACAACATACATAATACCATCAACAGTCAAACTGGTCTCTGCGATATTGGTCGCTACGATGACTTTTCTAACTCCAGGCGCAGCTCTGTCGAAGATCTTTGCTTGCAGATCCGCCGGCATTTGACTGTAAATGGGTAGAATGCTAAGTTTTGGTGGATCATTGAGAGCATTGAGACGTTCCTGGATAAGCTCGCAAGTACATTCGATATCTTCTTGTCCAGTCATAAACACCAAGATATCACCTGCACCTTGGGACACATGTATAGCCAATACTTGCTGAACCGCCTGATCGACATAGTCTTCCACGGGTGAGCGATGATACATAATATCGACTGGAAAGGTACGACCGGGAATGAAAAATTCCGGGGCTCCACCATAGAAATCAGAAAAACGTTTCGAGTTCATCGTCGCAGATGTGACTATTAGCTTGACATCTCTACGACGTGCAAGAACCTTTTTCATCAACCCCATGAGTACATCTGTATTGAGTGCCCGCTCGTGAGCTTCATCCATGATAATGCAGGAATAACGATCTAGATCTGGCTCATTCAAAGATTCTCTCAATAGGACACCGTCCGTCATATACTTTATTACTGTTTCCTTGCTTGTACAGTCCTCGAATCGAATAGCATATCCAACAGTCCCTCCCAGTGGGCATTCCATCTCCTCACTGACACGCTTCGCTACAGACATGGCTGCTACTCTTCGAGGTTGCGTACATCCTATCAGACCTGTTTTTCCATAACCTTCTTCGTAGAGAAATTGAGTGAGTTGAGTCGTTTTTCCAGATCCAGTCTCGCCGACACAAATTACCACCTGGTTATCTCGAATAACCCTTAGCAAATCCTCTCGTACCGCAAATGCGGGAAGGTATTCTCTCTGCTCTCTCAAAGATTTGCTTTGACTGAAGTTACTAGCGCCGTCGTTCTTTTTCATATGCTGTGCGAATTTACTAGATCCCTGTGTTTCCTCGCCCATCATTGGAGCTGCACTGTCGCCTTCCTCTTCCTTGATACCCATAAGATTTCCAAGCGCCGTACCCGCCATGTTCGTTGCTTCTTGGGCCTGCTTTTGCCTCTCTTTCTGCTGTCGCCTCTCCTTCACCACTTTACTTCCCTTGCGACTAAAAACTGCCATGTCACTTTGAAAATCACGCACTGCCGGTACAGGCTCCAGTTGCTTCGAGAAAACAGTTCTTCCATCTAAAAATGGAGGCTTAAGATCGTGTACAAGTAAATGCACTCTGGTCGCTTCCTCGTCGTCCTCAAAGTCATCCTCAAAACGTCTTCGTTGTGCGACACCAGAGGCGAGCAATCGACCCGTCTCCCATGCATCGACATCCCTTTCTTTTTGAGCTGCGCGCGCGCTCTGTCGCTTCACAATCTTCTTCTCGATCAAAGGTGCTTCTCGTTGGGAATCCGCCCAAGGATTGTCGTATGAGCCGAATGGGTTGTGCGATTCATCTCCATCATCTGCGTACCAATCTCTATCTAGAGCTTTCGAATCCTCTTCATCAACAAATGGCTCCGGTTTGATGTCAACGAATGGCTTCGGCTTCGGCTTGGGATCCAACTTGCGTCGCTTCGGCCGTGCTCCTTCGTATTCGTGGTCTTCCATCTTAGGTTGATGAATGAAATGGTAGATGAGTGTTGGATCAAATTTCGGTATAACAGGGAAGTAAACAAATAAGTGATAACAGAAGTGATAAGTGGTTATCTACACGTGATATTTGAAGTTAGCATTTGCACTGACATTCTTCAAGGGGCCAGTTGCCTATCAAACAGGCCTCAAACTTCTTAATGAACTTTGTATTTTTGGTTCCAATTTGAGAATCATATAGCACTCACGCAGCTGATGGAAAATTTGAACTTTGAGGCCGAATACGCTTGTTTACTCTCAATGAGTATTGAGAAGGGTCTAGAGAGGGCCTATGACGCTAATGGACTTAAGCGGCCGCAATAATCAAGATAACGCTAAGATAAAAAATAAAAAAGTTGATCAAATGTAATAATTCATTTTTTTATATCCCCGCTCCAGTCGATTTGTGAGCTTTTTTTACAATTCTGATATAATATCATAACATCATGTCCATGATCACAGCAACCGCATGGGTTCCCCGGGGCTTTGCAGCTCCTTTCCCAACAAAATATAACTTTGATGAAGAAGAATTTCAGCGAATTGCGGATCTTGCAAAGTTACAATTGGATGATGCGAACGATGATTTGGAAGAAGCGCAACATGAAGCAGATAATGGCGCAGACCCAGATGCCATGGTGGATGATGAAGGTTCGGATGACGAAGAAGCTCCCAAAGGAGTGAAATCAACAGCGTTCGTCTAGTGCTCACAATTTACATTATTCCGCTGACTTTTATACAGTGAGGAGGATGACGATTTAAAAGAATACGATTTGGACCATTACGATGATGAGGTTGAAGAAGACAAGAATGGTGGTGAGGGAATGGCTATGTTTGGAAACGTCAAATCACTTGCATATCACGAGTCGAATGAGGAAGATCCATATATCACAATGGCAGGAAATGCAGAGGATGAAGATGAGGACAGGGAAGAACTTCAAATATTGGCAACAGATAATATGCTGCTGGCGGCAAAGATAGAGGATGAAATCGCACATCTTGAAGTATATGTTTACGAAGATGGAGCTGACAACCTTTACGTACATCACGATATTATGTTGCCAGCGATACCTCTATGTTTGGAATGGCTCGATTTGCCTGTTGGAAAGCCAAGTGTGGACAAGGACTCGAGGGCAAATTTCGTTGCTGTTGGTACATTTGACCCGGATATTGAGATTTGGGATTTAGATACAGTCGATTGCATGTATCCTAATGCTATTCTGGGGCAGGGTGGACAAAACAAAGGTGGAGATGAAGGTGCTAAGAAAAAGAAGAAGAACAAGAAATCGAAGAAGGCCAATGACGAATTTCACGTGGATGCAGTTCTTTCGTTAGCTGCCAATAGACATCACCGAAATTTATTGGCATCCTCATCTGCGGATAAGACAGTCAAACTCTGGGATTTACACACCA